GGGGGGGGGGGGTTATATTAGAGTGATTGATCATTACCCACTTTAATAATAAAGTCATTAAACTTTATTAATAGGGTAATATTTTCTGTGACTTTACTATCTTAGGGACTATAACTTCTGGCGAGTCGAGGCGTAAGCCCTAAGACATAAGGCATAAGTTCCACGGATCTTTAAATTTTATTAAATTCAATTTTTTTAAAATATTATAAAATAAAAAATAATTATAAAAATACATTAAATTCACAAAATTATAACAAATAATCTATTTAAAATATTTATAAAGTATAATTCAACTATGAATAATACGAAAAGTATGACATATATCATAATATGCAAATTAGCTGCAACGTCATTACAACTCAAACATCAAAAGTAATGTATTCGATAGAAAATCTTATATGTATCTCTTAATGAGTAATGATCTTGAAAGAATTTAGATATTATAATTTGATAATTTTCTTAAAATACTCCTTTTATTTAATATGCTTTAATTTCTATTTGAAAGAGAATTAATATAAAAACATAATTCACAATTTCAATATGATTCTCTAGCATTATTTTTTAAATTTCAATAAATTAATAAAGTGATACATAATTCACCATACAATACCATGATAACTAATTATTTGTAAATAGTTACTAGCTAATACTGAGCTATTAAATTAATAAGTATTGTATCTCGTAAATGTAGTGTGACGACCCGGCCAGTCGTCTCATGAGTTACCGCTCCGTTTTCCCCATTTTTGCATATTTATGCTTTGTCTATCCGAGTTATGTGGTATCGGGTTGGTCGGATCGAGTTTGGAAAGGATTTGGTAATTAAGGTTTGAGACACTTAGTCACTTTAGAGTGAGTTTAGGTTGGAAAAGTCAACCAGATGTTGACTTGTATGTTAGAGGGCTCAGATGTGAGTTCCAATGGTTCGGTTAGCTTCGAGAGGTGATTTGGGACTTAGGAGCGTGATCGGAATGAGTTTTGGAGGTTCAGAATAGATTTAGGCTTGAATTGGCGAAATCGGATTTTTGGCGATTTCCGGCTGATAGGTGAGATTTTGATATAGGGGTCGGAATGAAATTCTGAGAGTTGCAGAAGTTTTGTTGTGTCATTTGGGACGTGTGTACAAAATTTCAGGTCATTCGGACGTGGTTTGGTCGGGTTTTTTATCAAAAGCGGAATTTAGAAGTTTTTGGAAACTTAGGCTTGAATCCGATGTGTTTTGGTCAATTTGATGTTGTTTGAGGTATTTTGAAGATCTGTACAAGTTTGAATAAGGTTTTGGGATATGTTGGTACCTTTGGTTGAGGTCCCGGGGGCCTCGGGTAGTCAATCGGGCCATTCCATGTAGAAAAATGACCTTCGCGTTCATGAGTTGGTCCTCGCATTCGCGAAGGGTCAGTTGAGGAAGCTGGAAATTTAGCCTTCGCGTTCGCGAGGGAGGCTCCGCGTTTGCGAAGGGCCGGGCAGTTGTGCATCGCGTTCGCGGGGGTGTTGTCGCGTTCGCATAGAAGGAATGAGAAGCTGAGCTTCTTGGGGGAATTTGTTCATCGCGTTCGCGAGAGGCGGAATGTGATCGCGAAGGTTTGTCTGAGCAAAACATCGCGTTCCCGATAGGGAGGTCGCGATCGCGAATGAGGAAAAATTGGTCAAGTTAATTTGTGCTTCGCGAATGCGAGATTTTGACCGCGTTCACGAAGAAGGATTTCAGGCCTGGGCAGAAGGTTTAAAAGGTCGTCTTGTCCGTGAATGTGGGGTTTATTTCTTCCATTGTTGGTCGTTTTTGGAGCTATTTGAAGGAGATTGAAGAGGGATTCAAGGGGAATCACTTGGAGGTAAGAATTTTGGACTTAAAACTTGATTCTATTGTGAAATCTACCTAATAAATCATAGAACCTAAGCCTAGCATTGAGGAATTATGGCTTGAGATTAAGAGACTTTAAAATGAGAATT